AAAAAAACCTGTTTTTTTAAATGAAAAGCAGAATCGTTTGAGTTCAGATTTGATCCATCTCCTGCTCTCTCATGAGAGTTATAAATAAAATAGGGATTTAAAAAGTAGAGATTGTTTATAGACAAAGTTGTAGTAGGACTTCCCAGGGATTGCTGTCTTTATAGTTTTCTCCTTAGGTATTCATGCCTGGCAGCGCCTTAGAGCTGAAAGTACCCTGTGACAGCGCTTTTGCCTGTTACTTTGTTACTTTAATAACTAAAGTCCCTTGAGTAAGGTTGGAAAATGGGTATTACTTGTGTTGAATTTTGCTTTATAACCTGGGTGCATGGTGAATATTTCTGCTTATGCATGGTTGAAGCTCTAGAGCACGGCTTTGCAATCTGTATGTGCTTGAGAGTCCCCTAGGGCTCTTGGTAAAATACAGATTCTGATTCAGCTGGTCTAGGGGAGGGTTGAGGGCCTGTACTTCTAAAATGCTCTAAGGGGTGCCAGTGCTTCTGGTCCACGGACCACACTTTGAGCAGTAGGGACCTAAGAGACACCCATCCTTGGAGTTCTGTTTGCCTTAAAACTATGCCTCCTCTACCCCAGCCCTTCTACCCAACTTAAAAAAAAAGTCTCACTAATTCTAGGTTTGTGCCTTTCTTTCAAGTTGGTATTAACAAACATGTCTTTATCTTTTTTAATAGCAAAACACCGAATTGCTCATAAACCTCACTCCAAACCAAAAACTTCAGGTATTTTTGAAGCTGATTTTACTGATGATGTAAAATCCAACAAGTTGCTTGCTGATACGGAACTGTGGGCTCGACTTGAAGAACTAGAGAGACAGGAAGAATTGCTGGGTGAACTTGATAGGTACCTAATGGCAACTCATTTTTTCAAGAGGATTTGTTTTTCAGGACATTCATTTTCTCATTAATAAAATAATATACACTGACTGAAGAAAATACTAAAAAAGCATAATATATTATTGAAGTATATATATGGATAGATATAAAAAATATATATTGATATTAAAATATCATTAATCCTCCCACCCCAAGACAAATATGAATTTTCTGTTTTCTTTTGGGGCTGTATATTCATGTATGTGGCCATGCGTGTGTGTGTGTGTAAATACTTAAAAATCAACATCCCCAGTTTTTTATTACAAAATTTCAGCTATATTTTATATAATAAAGTATAAGACATATCATTTAGTTGATTTTAATAATTATGGATGTTTTATATATTAAATTTTTATATATTGTTTTAATATAAATATATAACATTAAATTTTAATAAATTATTTAAATGAAGTATTTTCATACTACATTCAAATATTGCTTTGTCATTGAATTTGTTAAAAAGAGAACTTTGGGTTATTCTGTAAGATGGCTATGCATCGGAGCCGACCTGATGGCGCCGAATGACAGCAACAACACCGTAGAATACTTAACCTCACTTTCCTTTGGCAGACTTCTCTGTTTACTGAGCAGGTGACTTGTAATCTGGTCAAGTGGTTACGTGTATGAGAAACTTTGCCGTATTCCTGCTATTTAGAATACGCATTAGCACCCACTTAGAGTTGTCGCAGTGCTAAGTGAAGTCTGTTACTACGCAGGTTTCTGTATTGTTCTGTTTCAGTGATGTGTACCATATGCCACGATTGTTGTTGTTGCTAGCTGCCGTCGAGTCGGTTCTGACTCACAGCGACCCTGAGTACAATAGAATGAAACACTGCCCGGTCCTGTGCCATGCTCACAGTCACTGTTGTGCTTGAGCTTATTGTTCCAGCCACTAATTAGTTTCTGTGAAATCTAGGACACAAAGCACAAAAGATATGTATTGTTCCTATTTATTAAGATGTATATTGTTCCTATTTATTACGCCTGTGACTTCCTGGGTCCTTTTGATTAACTGATATTCTTTCATTTTTTAAACAGGTTTGACTCTGGTGCTTTTCTTGGTCGTGATTCTCTTTCTGATTTTGTGTGATGTTATTTTGGTTCGGTTTTCTTCTTGGCTTTGCTATTTTTGTCAAGTCTTCAAATCTTTTGTAGAATGAAAGCCTGATAAATACACATGTATGTTTAATTAAGTGTATTCATGTACATACGTGTAAACCCTTCATTTTTAAAAATTACAACAATACATGCTTGTTTAGCAGAGCGCTGGTAGCACAGTGGTTTAAGAGTTTGGCTCCTGACCAGAAGATTGGTAGTTCGAATCCACCGGCCACTCCTTAGAAACCCTGTAGGGCAGCTCTGCTCTGTCTTACAGGGTTTTCATGAGTTGGAATTGATGGCAGTGTTTGTTTTTTTTTGTTTTTTTTTTTTTTTTTAAATTATTCCAAGTACAGAAATAGGTGGAAAATAAAAGTACATTCTATGACTTAAATTTCTGGCCCTTAAATAGAAATATATATTCTCTATGAATTTCCTACAGATTTCTTCCTGTGTTATTTATATTGTGTATGGCCAATATCCTCGTTGCTATCATCTACTGTTTCTACTTACATTTGAGTAGCTAACCTACACAATTGCTACAGAAATTAGTGTTTTCTTTCTTTGTACTTAAGCCAAAAAGTCGGCAGTTCCAAACCACCAGCTGTTCTTTGGAAACCCTGTGGGGTAGTTGGACTTTACAAGTCAGAATTTGACTTGATGGCAATGGGTTTGATTTTTTTTTTTTTTTCGTTTCTTTGTTCTTAATATCTTTTAGAACATTTTTGCTTTCTTAACCTAGAATTCTAGTGGAAAATGATGAATTACTGTAAACTCTTCTTAAAAATCTTAGTTTTTACTCACTGAAATGACATAGGAAATATGTAATATCGTAAATATGTAAAATTTTAGTATGTGTGTTTGATCTTGTTGATTTTCTCATTTTCTTTACTAGTAGGCCCAATACTGTGATTGCAAATGGGGAAGATACAACTTCTTCTGAAGAGGAAAAGGAGGGTCCAGACCCAGACGTGAATGTGGAGCATCAAGAAACAGACACTGTTATCCCCAGTAGTTGTCATAAGGATCTTACAAACTCAGAGCTGTTCAGTGGTCAAGTGAATAGTCAATTGAACTGTTCAGTGAATGGTTCAAATTCTTATTACAGTAATGATGATGATGATGACGAGGATGATGAGGATGATGAAGATGGTGACAGTGGAAATGAACATGATGCTTTAGGGGTTGGAGATAATTCTGTACCAACAATATATTTTTCTCATACTGTCGAACCTAAGAGGGTTTGTATATTTTTAATTTATTTTACTAGTTTGTATATAACTTGAATATTAAACATCATTTATGGTATTCTTTAAAAAAAACATTAGTAACAGTGGTTAACACTGCGGATAGTGCCAAACAAGAAAACCACCTCTTGCCTCTTGTTTTGACTAATTTATCTTAAAAAAAAAACAAAAAAAAAAGACAAAAGGTCTAGTTAGTATCGGTGCATTATCCTCTGAAGCCACAATCCAAGGTGTTTGGGGTCTGGTAGGGATCAGATTTGCATGGTAACTACAGTAACTCCTCTTGTTCCTCACCCAGGGCGTTTTCCTAAGAATCCTGAAGTTAATCTTGTGGGTGTTTTCATGTGTTTAGGAAGTTGAAAGTGACTGCATTAGTTAATTTTTAACTATACCACGTTATTGTTTTCTATGGGGGCATAAAATGAATAGGAGCATCATGAGCAAAAAGGAAAAATTTAGGAGGAAGTAAAAATTGGTTCCTATTCTGACAAAGTAAATATAAACATCTATGGGTAACCGTAACTTTAGAATTTTGGCGTTTTAGAGCCTGGGGTTGACCATAGAGATCTTCTTATATAGGGTTTTCAAGCTTTTCTGTAGTTTCGAAAGCCTTTTTGTTTCTTCCACACTTAACTGTAGAATCGCAGTGTTTCAAACAGATAAAAGGAAGTTGGCTCTGGTCGAAGGCAGGATAGGCTGCCGTAGCCCATTCCCTTGCCCGCCCTGATACATTGACTGCTCTACGGAGCCACTGGGAATTCATCTTTCTAATTCGTCTTTCTCGGGGAAACTTGAGGTCTGGAAGACCGTAGAGCTGGTTATAATAAAACAGGGACTCCTTTGTCTCAGTTTGGTGCCCCTTCTACCACAGGTATCATTACAGGGATTGCCGATAGAGGGCCTGTGATTATTATTTAATGAAACATGTTTAATTAACACGTTTGATATTTCTTAGGTTACTTAAGTTGTCTTTGCTCTAATATGAAGTGACATAATCATATAATTTTTTTTTTTTTAATATCCTAATACTTCACACTTAAGAGAGCTTTTATCTCCTGAATTCTTTGGGAAAAAAATGACTGAGACGATTAGCTAGAAAAAGTTTGTGATTCTTTTTCCAGGCTTTCAATTTTCTCTTATTTTTATTTAGATAAAACAGTAAGAGTAAATAGTATTTGCAGGAATGTTATGGGGAACAACAGTTATTACTGTGGAAAGTGTGGTTTAAATGCTGAGTTGGGATAGAAGGTAACAGTGATCCTCAACAGGGTTTTTTTCTTTTTCTTTTTTTAGTCCTTTAATTTCTAAAGATTCTAAATTGTTATCGTTGTTGTTAGGTGCCATTGAGTCGGTTCTGACTCATAGCGACCCTATAGGACAGAGTAGAACTGCCCCATAGGGTTTCCAAGGAGCGGCTGGTGGATTTGAACTGCAGACCTTTTGGTTAGCTGCCGAGATGTTAACCACTGTGCCACCAGGGCTTGTTAAAGTATTATCTAATACTGCGTTGTGACTTCAATTTTATGTTCTTACTGAAAATTCCTTTTGGTTAACTGTACCCTTTGTTTTGAAATACATGATTTAAGCCAAAAACTTATAGCAAAGTAACAAGGTAATGTTAAAGCTTATAATGAATCTAACATTTAGTCTAGATGAGTTTTGCCTTCCGTAAAATAATAAAGTCACTGAAGACTAGAATTAGTGATGAAAGAAGATGTAATTTAATGCTGGGAAGTATGATATATCCGTGACCTTTTTCACTAAGGTAGGGACTTTTTTAACCCTGTCTGACAGTGCATATCATTTCAGTGTCAAAAATTTAAACTGCCTCTCTTACTGTTATTTCTTTAATTACAGAATTTTTGGGTTTTGGTTTGGCCTTGATTTAATTTCTCAAAGGGTTTATAATTTTTGCTGTGAAATGTTTAGGTTCGAATAAATACTGGAAAAAATACCACTTTAAAATTCAGTGAAAAGAAGGAGGAAGCGAAACGTAAACGAAAGAACAGTTCTGGCAGCGGCCATTCTGCCCATGAGCTGCCTACCATCAGGACTCCTGCTGACATTTACAGGTGAGTGGTATTCGCAGACCTCAGGGCAGTTGGCTCTTCCCTTCCTGGTTTCTTCTGCAACTGAACATTGACAGGTGAAGGTTACCTGTGACGCCAGCGACTTCCGTTGTAAAGTGAGCTGTTCTGATGAGGTTAGCTTATTAGTATTTTAAAGGCTTTTCCTGCAGCTGCCGAGCCACCAGAGCTTCCGAGTCCAAAGCAGTCGGAATGTTCTGTGGCTTTTTCACTTTTTTCCCCGCTTTGCTAGTACTTTTAAAACGTTGCCAGTTGGCCTACTCAGAAGGTTTGTGTCCTAACTTTAGAGACAAGTGTCTGTGCTCCTCATGGGCAGGGTACAGCTTTCCTACCACAGCTCTGACGTGCTGGGCGTGCGGTCTGCCTTGTCAGAGTATACGTTCCTTATACTGTTTCAGCTTGTTGTTGGGGTGTTTCTTGAAAGCTACCATGTGAGAGTACCTGTTGTTTTCATGACCCATATTTGTAAAATAGTGAAAAATGTCTTGTAGTTCTACTTCTGTATGTAGAATTTTGACAGCTCAAACTGTCGTCACTCAGAACATGGTTATAAATAACGTGCTGTATTTTATTAAGCAAAAAAACCCAATTTTTCAAAATAATATAAAATGTTTCCTTTGTGGCTGAAAAATTATTGTGAATGTGAAAATTTTAAATATAAAGTTTGAATAAAACATTTCAGATTAATTTCTAGAAAAGATACAAATAAATCATTATAAATTTATCCTGTTTTACAATGAGTGTTTGGTTTTTGTTTTTAATATTACAGAGTCTTTGTTGATATTGTGAATGGAGAATATTTTCCTCGTAAATCAATTCTGAAGTCTCGAAGCAGAGAGAACAGTGTCTGTAGTGATACCAGTGAAAGCAGCACTGCTGAGTTTGATGACAGGCGAGGACTGTTGAGGAGTATTAGCTATGAGGAGGCTGCTTGCAGTGACTCGAATGAGAACATTTTGGAAGAGGAACAAGAAGAAGAAAATTATCAAAAGAAACATTTACCCTTATCAGGAGCACCTGAGGTTTGTTTGTGTATTTTAATGCTTTATTTCATATAGTATCTCTGATCAATTTTTGTTGTTTTGTGAGATAAAAAGGTGGTGATAGCATAGAATTCATTTTTCCTCTTTCAAATAGTTATTTTTGGAGTTGAAAATACACTTCTTTAAAACCAGAAAAATAAAACTCATTGCTATTGAGTTAATTCCAACTCACAGTGACCCTACAGGACAGAGTAGAACTGCTTCTTAGGGTTTCCAAGGAGCTGCTGTGGATTTGAGCTGCTGACCTTTTGGTTAGCAGGCAAACGCTTAACCACTGGGCCACCAGGGCTCCATTTCTTTAAAAGAGGGCTTTTTTTTAAATTGCAGCTGTTTTATCTCCCAGGTATGGTCCACAGACCATTTTATTGTGGTCCCTAAATTATTGTATTTTATATAATTTTAAAATTATAACTGGGTAATGGCATTGCTTAACTTGTAGCTTCTTTGATTTACATATGTTTAATCTCAAGTGACCTAATTAATTCTAGATCTGTACTTGTTTGATAATAATTTATAAAAATTAATAGTCACTAGCAAATATAGTACAGGTATTATATTAAAATAGTTCAAAAAATATTTTGTAAAAGTATTACGAGCTGTGAAGTTCTGTTTCTGTGAAATGGGAATTTTAAAATACCTTGATTGGCATATGTGTTACATTTTTGACTGGAAAAACATTTAGCGGCTTATTTTAAATAAACTATCACTAAGTAGGCTATAGTCGTTTTATTATAGTTCAAGTAGCAGATTTGTACCATTCTTTTTTATATGCCTTGGTTGAGATAAAAAAACATCTACCTGGCAGATGATTATCTAAAGTCCTCTCTTTTGACCTGTGCCAGTGAAATTAGCTCGTGGGGGGTTATGGAACCATTCCACAATCTGATGAAAGCTGTGGCCCCTGTCCTCAGAAAAACGAGTGCACACACATACTCTCTCACTCAGTCAGCACACTGCACATGATTTTATGTGAGGGCAGGGGGTGACTGGGAGATCCCAAAGTCAGAATTCCTGGCTATGAAATACATAGTTGGACGTTACGGCTTCCATTTTACCCAAACTTTTTTTTTCATTCATTCTTTTGTTTTGGCAGGTATTTCAAGTTTTCAATTTAGAAAGTAGTTAGGAAGACTGGAAACTCATACCTGTATCATACCAATATACACATTTGTCCATACAATCAAATACATATAAAATATGTGTGTGTGTGTGTGTGTGTGTGTGTGTGTATAAAAATTCCATTGCTTATACTAAATGATCCTTGGGTAATTGGGGATGGAAATCATTAACATTTTAAGTATTCTAACTTATAGTTTTCTGTATTGTCAGAAAACAGGTAATGCATGCAGACTTTTGCCATTTTTAAGTATTTGAAAGTTAGGTGTTTGTAAGGTCTTAAGATAATCATAGGATAGCTAGAGCTAGAATCTGGAACTTGTTGACATTTCACTCGTTAGCTTTGCACTTTGTATTGATCAATTAGTATCTAGACGCTATAAATTTTTAACGCCAAAATAGTGTATGAGTATGGCAAGTACTTTGAAGGAGTCTGTCTTAGTTATCTATTGCTGCTATAACAGAAATACCACAAGTGGATGGCTTTAACAAAGAGAAATTTATTCTCTCACAGTTTAGGAGGCTAAAAGTCCAAATTTAGGGCGCCACCTCCAGGGGAAGGCTTTCTCTCTCTGTCAGCTATGGGGGAAGGTTCTTGTCATCAGTCTTCCCTGGTCAAGGAGCTTCTCAGCACAGGGACCCTGGGTGCGAAGGACATGCTATTCTCCTGGCTCTTGTTTCTTGGTGGTATGAGGTCCCTGGTCTCTCTGCTCTTGTCTCTCTTTTATATCTCAGAAGAGATTGATTTAAGACACAACCTAATCTTGTAGATTGAGTCCTACCTCATTAACATAACTACCTCTAATCCTGCCTCATAACACCATGAGGTAGGATTTATAATACATACAAAAATCACATCAGATGACAAAATGGTGGACAATCACTAATACTGGGAATCATGGCCTAGCCAAGTTGGCACGGATTTTTTTATTTTTAACTTTTTTTTTTTTTAAATTTTTTTATTGTACTTCAGGTGAAGGTTTACAGAAATAGATTCTCATGAAACAGTAGTATACATATTGTTTTATGACATTGGTTAACAACCCCACGACATGTCAACCCTCTCCGTTCTCAACCTGTTTTTTTTGGTGAAAATATACATAGCCAAAGATACACCATTTCAAAAATTTCTCCATGCACAGTTCAGTGACATCAACTGTGCTGTTCCAGTTGTGCTGCTATTTTCACTTTAGATGAAGGCTTACAGAACAAAATAGTTTTTGCCCTGTGACAATGGTTAACAACCTTACAACACATCAACACTGTCCTTACTCAACCTTGGGTTCCCTATCACCAGCTTTCCTGTCCCCTTCTGCATTCCAGCCCTTGTCCCTGGACTGCTGTGCCTCATTAGTCCCATTTGGTTTTATGAGGCTGTCTACTCCCTGGCTGAACGGTGGCACAGATTTTTGGGGAATACAATTCAATCCATAACAGAGTCTTTTCACTATTTTTTTAAAATTCTGAAATATTGTCTCTTTTCAAAAGCATTTTAAATATAATAAGAAGGCTCCATGCTCATCATGATAAAATGGAGTTTTTAGAAAAGTTAGCTTTGAGCTTCTTTTAAGAACTGGTCTTCATCCCAGGTTTCAGTTATGGGAGGGAGGGAAAGTGCTTTGTTTTTTGATTTCAGTGGTAGAGTGAGGTTGGGGAGGGTGGCTTTTTGAACTATTAAAGTCTTATATTTTTTTAACTAATTTTGAGCATTTAGTTTACAAAGGGAAGCAAAATGTATATGAAAATTTACATGTCAAATTTTAGTTTGGACATAGTGAGTTTTTGGAAGATATAAGGAGAGGTTCCAAATACCAAAAATCTTTTCCAAAAAATTTCTAACAATGCCTTGATTTTTAGATGTAAATTTGATTATATTTCCAGCGTTTTGTACACATTTAATTTTGTTCCATTTGAGCGTATAGTTGACCAGATTAAGTCCAGTAAACATCTAGTTGAAATTTAAGAATCGTTTTTTGTGGAACCGCTTATGATTTCCACATTGAATTAATTGTATTAAATTTGAGACCTGTGCTTATTCCTACTGGTCTCAGCACTTTTTTTCAGCTTTTCACTGATCTCTTAAATAAAACTGAGGCAAAATACAACAAAATATTGAAATAATTGCATGAGTGCCACCAGAGAGATGTCAGTACTGCTGAAACTAAGCGATTGGCTGGCAGGCAGCCTGGCCAGGCAGGATAGCTCGTTGTCAGCTGATACGCGAAAGCCTGAGTTTGACACCTCGATAGCATGTTAGGGCTTTAACACATTGTTCTCCACAGCATGAACTGGCTGTAAATGGAACGTATGAAGGTTTTATCCCAGATAAAACATGCATTTTACATTTTTGTTTTCTTGCATGTGTATACTCTACCAATCTACTTATATTTGGGGTGTACTTAAGAAATATTTTAAAGGTACTTGATTTCTCTAAACAGTTTGTTTTGATTGTTATTGTTTTGTCTTCCTATGTAAAAATCTTACTAATTTTAACGAAAAGAAGTTGGTCTAATTGGTGAATACAGGTTAAAGATTTTGTGGGCATCTTATTATTTTCACTTTATTACCTTATTCTGAATTTTCTCTTCTAGGCGTTTTCTGGAACTGTAATAGAGAAAGAATTTTTATCACCCTGCTTACCACCACACCCAGCCATTGCTCATCCTGCGCTACCCACCATTCCAGAACGAAAAGAAGTTCTGTCCGAAGTGTCAGAAGAAACTACCAAGAGAGTTTCAAAGTTCAAAGCTGCCAGATTGCAACAGAAAAGCTAGTCCCTGCCTGGGAAATAGGAGTTCACATCCTAAAAGCTAGTTTTGCATTTGTTTAGAATCTGTATAGCAAAATTTGTTACATGTCGTTTGAAATAAGGCAGCCTGAGTTAATTTGGCAGCAAGTTCTCTGAACCTTATCAGTGGTATTAAAAAATTGAATATTTGAATACTGTTCAGCTTGTTTTGTTAATTCCCTGAATATTGTCAGCACTCTCGTCTGAGTTTGCCGTATGATGCAGTGGCAGCATTTTGAATTATTTTAAAAGAATACTCTTCCTATGTATTGTTTTTGTGTTTTGAACTAAATACAGGCAGTTTATAACAGCTGTGATGTTGTGCATACCATATGGACCATTTTAAAGAAACTTTTAAAATTTCAAATAGATTCAACAATTATATTTCATTACTTGCTTTAGCATTTTAAAGGCACTTTAAAAAAAAATCTACTTCTGTTGTAGGTTTTGCAGTTAGGTGGCTATTTAAAAACATCCCTCCCCTCTGAACGTCATACTGTAGTCTCTGAGGTAGAAAGCTTCGTGTGCCCTTTGGGAAAGTTTCTCTGATTGGAAGAATGGTATTTTGTAAAACATTTTTTTCAAGTAAAAATTTTATGGAACTTGGTCTCTAAAATGTTGTGAACTCTATAATTCAGAATTGAACATAGAAATGTCTTTTCTTCATATATATGCTCTGCACACACCACACAGTAGAGCTTTGAGCTCTTATGCTTCCACAGGCACATCTCCCCCAGCATGTACAGTTGTAACTGGAATTAGGTTTCAGGAGAGAGGGAAAGGATGTCTAGATGCTGAAAACTAAACTTTGTTAAGTCCAGAATTCTTATGTTTTAATCTTCCACGTTTCATTCTCTAAGGCTACTTTTATACTAGTAAATAGCTGAAGTAAAATATTTACTTTTAGCAAAACTATTTAAAATAGACATTTCTTCTAACATTGAAAATTACACTGCAAGTGTTAATCGTTAGCTTGATGCATGCTAAAATGTAGCTTTTAAAAAGCATTCTGCATTAGTACTAAAATAAGCCATCAATGGCAGTCCACCCTCTATTCATGGCTAAATATTTAAAGGTTATTTATAGCTTCTTTAATGAATTCTTGCTTAAACAAAGTGAAATTATGTCCTAGAAAAGTAGAAGCTATTTGTAACTAGAACAGCCTGTCTGTAAAAGTTTTATGAATATGTATTTTAATAAGGGGGTGAGATTGAATCCTCACTAGTTAATGGATAATTCAGAACAGGGGCCTGATTTTGCGACGTCGCCTAAATATGTAGGGTTTTTTTTTTTCTTTAGTAAGTTCTGATCAGCTGTGTACATATTGAAGTTAGAAACCGTTTTTCTCTTAGCCCATCCTCCCCCAAACAAAACAAGACTACAAATCACACACACAGAAGCTGTCATTCCCAGCTGCTGTTCAGGTAAGCCTTTTTGTTCTAGATCCCTCCCTCCTACGTATAACAGAACGAAACATAACGCAGCCCTGTGCGGTCTTCCTGATCTTGGTATGTTTGAGTTTGTTTCGGCTATCGATAGGAAAAATAGAACTCATGATATCGTAGCGTGGGTCAATGGGATCATGTTTGTAAGGAGCTTATAACAATGTAAGTAAAAAGCACTTGATAAAAATACTTGTGATAATCTTGAAGAGAAGATAACCATTTTTTTTTTTAATAGAAAAAAGTGGTTTCAGCCAGTGCTCTTCAAAATGGTATGGGCGTAGCAGTCATCTGAGTAACATGTTAAGAGGGAGATTTTTTTCTGTGGGTCTGGCATGAGATTGTGCATTTCTTATGAGTTTGTAGATGATACTGATTTTGCTAGTCTGTGGCACATATTTTGGGTGTCAAAGGTGTAAACTTTAGTTATAGCTTTATTATCTAAGTCTTGAGCTATCTGTTATCTATGAAGGTGATAATTTCTGGCGGGTGATGAACAGTGCTCTTCATGATGTGAAATATCTGAGAACCTTCCATAAGTAAGCAAGAGATGCTGTGAGCCAAATGCCTGAAGAACAAAATAAGTCTTATAAATGTCCATTCATGTCATAATGTGATGTCAAGAATTATTTCAGCCTGAGAAGGGAGTGTAGTTTCCAGGGCCAGTGACATAGGGTTGGTGGGCTTCAGTGTTAATGAGACTTGTTGATTTTCTGAACCACCCCCCCACCAAAAAAAAAAAAAAAAAAAAAACACCTTTATTACAGGGTTATTGTCATATCCTGATAGTCTTTGCAGGCACGTAGTTTCAGAGAGTACTGTCATTAAATAGTTTGTCGTGTTCACAAACTTCATTTTGTGCCTGCTGTTGGTTCTGTAGTTAACGCAACTTCCTTCAAATAGGTCTTTCCTCGTAGAATAAGGTGGTGGTAGAAGCAAAGAAAAGTGTATGATTACATGTTTCAGTATCTTCTGCTGAACACCAGAATGTAATTGTGTTGCCCCATATAGCTTTAGTATTTTAAATTGTAACTTGAAATAGCCGTGTTTTCTACATTAAATTCAAGTTACAGTGGGATAAAATGAAGCTGATCTTAAGTGTTGTTTTAAACCATTGTAAAACAGAACAGCAGACCAAGAGATTTTTTAAGTTTTGATTTTGAACTAATTTTAGACCTATAAAAAATTTGCAAAAATGGTACCCTCCTCAACCACCAGCAACACTTGCTGTCGAGTTGGTTCTGACTCGTGGTGACCCAGTGTGTGTCAACGATAGAGCTATACTCCATAGGGTTTTAGTGGCCTAGTTTTTAGAAGTAAATCACAAGGCCTTCTTTTCAAGGCACCTCTGGGTGGACTCGAACCTTTCTAACCTTTTGGTTATCAGCCAAGTGTGTTAACTGCACCACCCAGATACTCCACTCCTCACCTGGCTTCCTCTGATGTTACAACTTACATAACCATAATACAGTTATGGATACTAGCAATTTTACATTGGTGTGATACTATTAACTGAAGTACAGACCTTTTTTGAATTTTACCAGTATTTTTAAAATTTTTTCCCATACAAAAATGTATACATACATTGTTTCGTGACTCTAATTGCACTCCCCATACTGTGACAGCATACTTCTCCTTTCCACCCGATTCCCCATGTCCATTCAACCAGCTCCTAACCCTTTCTGCCTTCCCATCTCACCTCCAGACAGAAGCTGCCCGTTTAGTCTCTTGTATCTACTTGAGCTAAGAAGCACAATCCTCACGAGTATCATTTTATGTCCCACAGTCCAGTCCAATGCCTGTCTGAAGAGTTGGCCTCGGGAATGGTTTTAGTGCTGGGCTGATAGAGAATCTGGGGGCCATGCCTTCCAGGGTTCCTCCAGTCTCAGTGAGACCATTAAGTCTGGTCTTCTTACTAGAATTAGAGTTCTGCACCCCACCTTTCTGCTGCTCCACCAGGGACTCTCTGTTGTGTTCCCTGTCAGGGCGGTCGTTGGTGGTAGCCAGGCACCATCTAGTTCTTCTGGTCTCAGGCTGATGAAGTCTCTGGTTTATGTGGCCCTTTCTGTCTCTTGGACTAATACTTTCCTTGTGTCCTTGGTGGTCTTCATTCTCCTTTACTCCAAGTGGGTTGGGACCAATTGATGCATCTTAGATGGCTGCTTGCAAACTTCTAAGACCCCAGACTCCACTCACCAAAGAAGGATGCAGAACATTTTCTTAATAAGCTTTGTTATGCCAGTTGACCTAGACGTCCCACGAACGCATGGTCCCCAGACCCCTACCCCTGCTACTCTGTCCGTCAAAGTGTTTGACTGTATTTCAGGAAAATTCTTAGCTTTGGTTTAGTCCAGTTGTGCTGACTTCCCCTATACTGTGTGCTGTCCTTCCCTTCACCTAAGATAATTCTTATTTGCTATCTAGTTAGTAAATAACCCTCACCCTCCCTCCCCACCCTCGTAACCATCAAAGAATGTTTTCTTCTGTGTTTAAACCTTTTCTTGAGTTCTTATAATAGTGGACTTACACAATATTTGTCCTTCTGTGACTGACTAATTTCACTCTACATAATGACCTCCAGCTTCCTCCATGTTATGTTTCATGGCTTCATTGTTGTTCTTTATCATTGCGTAGTATTTCATTGTGTGTATATACCATAATTTGTTTATCCATTTGTCCGTTGATGGGCAGCTAGGTTGTTTCCATCTTTTTGCTATTGTAAACAGTGCTGCAGTGAACATGAGTGTGCATATCTCTATTCGTGTGATGACTCTGATTTCTCTAGGATAGATTCCAAGGAGCGGGATAGCAGGATTTTATGGTACTTCTGTTTCTAGCTTTTTAAGGAAGCACCAAATCAATTTCCAAAGTGGTTGTGCCATTTTACATTCCCACCAACAAACAGTGTATAAGTGTTCCAGTCTCTCCAAAACCTCTCCAGCATTTATTATTTTGTGTTTTTTGGATTAATGCTAGACTTGTTGAGGTGAGATGGTATCTCATTGTAGTTTTGATCTGCATTTCTCTAATGGCTAATGATCGTGAGCATTTCTTCATGTGTCTGTTAGCCACCTGAATATCTTCTTCGGCGAAGTGCCTGTTCATATCCTTTGCCCATTTTTTAATTGGGTTATTTGTCTTTTCGTTGAGGTTTTGCAGCATCTTGTAGATTTTAAGAGATTAGACGCTGATCAGATTTGTTGTAGCCAAAAATTTTTTCCCAGTCTGTAGGTTGTCTTTTGACTCTTTTGGTGAAGTCTTCTGATGAGCATAAGTGTTTGATTTTTAG